ATGTCGAGAAAAATCAACTTGACACAAGCATGAAAAATACAATGAAATACTTTTATTTTTCTCGGTTTTTAGAAATAATCTTCTACAATCTTCCGTATCTCGATTTATTTCGATATCTAGATTAAATTCTTTATTTATAATCTTGACTTGAAATAGATAAGAAAAAAGAATGGATTATTGCAAGAAATGTGTGCAAAAATAAAAATATAAATATATGTTTGTTCGTATATAAAATAAAATAAAGTGTGGAACTATAAAAAATTAATTTAAGATTTGCACTCTTGATAATTTTTGTTATTGGATAGCTTTCTGTTTGTACAATAAAAACAGAAGACTTAATGGAGAAAATTTTAATTATATTACTTGCTTAATTGATTACTTACTTAAAGTGGTTTCAAGAAAACCGCTACCAAGCATGGGGATAGTAGCTCCTGAAAATAATTACATTATTATTCAGTTTTTATTCCAAAGAAAATATTTTGCAATTTGCACATTTATCAGAATTTATACGGAATAATGCAATTGCATTTCAGAGCGAGGCTATTTCTACGACGCAATTGACTTTATGTGCATTAAAAATTCGTACAGTTACATCTAAAAATAATCTTAACAATAAAACTTAATTATTTAATTAGAATATTGATTATCTATCTAGATATGTTTAATATTTCATATGTGTTATTAAAATATATCAATATAAACTTTACAAATGATGAAAGTTTACAAAAATTAATTTTTTTTTAGTTAGTTTTATAGAATAAAGTTTTGGTTGAGTCTATATTTGTATTTTACCGCATATGTTATGTAATATTAACATATACATGCATATTAATCTGTTATTGCGGCATTCAAACTAACCATGAATGCGTACAAAGATAACAATATTAAAAATAACTAACGTCCATGTTATATATACTACAAATTTTCAATAGTGACGTTATATTTCAAAATATATATCCTGCGTTTATATTTTACGTAATCATATTTTTTTTAAACTAAACACACAATCAATAATTTTGAAATTATATTTTTTTATAATATTTATAAATATTTACATGGTCTTCTATATATCACTAATTTATTAGAATCAAATTTAATTGGAATTATTTTAGCCCCTGGTCAATCTTTTTTAATTGCACATGCATTTAGATAAATTGATTATATTTAAAGTTTCAACAAATTCCTTACAAAATTTCTTTCACAATTAATTTAATATGGAAACGTAAACGTTAAAAATATTTTAATATTTAATTAGCTTTAATTTAATATAATAATTAAATAATAAAATAAAAATATTTTATTTTATATTTGATTAAAGCTGAAGTTATAACGCTAATATAACAGTACAAGCGTTCAAGAGGAGATCTCAGCATGAATTATATGAGAACTTAACGACAGTTGACAATCTTAATGACTGGGTCGCGTGCGACCGCAGAGTGATTTGATAAAAAAAACAGAAAAAGATAATAGAAAACCACGCTGCGCCGACAATTCTTCAAAGTCCAAACACATAGAAAATTAATTTCTTTTTTATTATATCATTAAAGCTGTTTTTCTATTATGTTTTGCACGTCGCATCGAAGGAAACATCAAATATATTATTTATCCTAAGATTATACGATATAACTAATTTTACGAAGAAAAGCATACAATATTATTGCATAAAGTGGCTCTCAGACGATTTTCATGATAAAAATGAAGGTATATTTAAAGTAGCAAATATAAGTTTAATTCTTTTTGAAATATTCGAGATGTATTCTGCAGAATAAAAATCATAAGCATGGTAAATATGGCATTAACTAATCTATATCAGTCTGCGTTGTAATAAAATCGTTATCATTTGTGGACTTGCTTTGTTTCCAGAGAGTGTTCTATATAAAGAAATACACTCTCGCGCGAAGTCACTCTTGCCGCTCAAGATTTACGTTGCAATTTATCTTTCGGGGACGGGTTTCGTCGTTTACACAAGGCGCAATACAGATCCGACGTATATACGTACAAAGTGTCTCGGATCTAGCAAAACAATTTAAAATCTTAACAATTTATGTCAAAAATAGAAATTATCGTAACTTGAAAATTCAGTTAACTTTATAAGTATAAATAAAATCTTATCTTCTAATCGTTTTTCAACTTCAAGTCTTCAATAGACTTCTTATTTAAAGTTTATTATTAAAAATTTTAATGTTAAATTAAAAAGTTGCAATAAATAAAATATCATGTTACTCTCGCTAAAATATCCGATTCTGGATATAACAGCAGTTAACAATAAATATTAAAAATATTAAAAATAAAAGTATAAAAACTTTTTTTTATACTTCTATCTTTTATATTTTATTTTAAGTTGATAGGTTTTAAAACAATATTCCTAATATTTTTTCTCTACATTATTTCCGAACTAAAATTAATTATAAAAAAACAAGTCTTTAAAAAAAAAACTCTAAAAAATCCCTTTTGAATAATATTATAAAACTATTATCCAAGAAAACGATATT